CTCTTTTATTAAGCGGCTGAGCGATTTTGTTCAAACTTTGCACAGTTGACCTATATGCCACATGTAATAAGCCTATTGAATATGGGTCAAATCCAATGACCCCGTAGGGTCACACCGATATTGCTCTGCCGCTTTTTGAGATGCTCTTCTGATCCCAGACTCCAATATTTAAGTTTTAGGACCATAATTTAGATTCTGCTTGTTGAAAATGTTAGAATATAATAGTATATTACGTCATAAGATTGTAATAGTGCGTATTAAAAATGAGTGGAAACCTGTAATACGCAAATTGCAACCGAATTACGGATTATACTTTTTCTACGACCTCCGTGAATCTCGAAATAAAAATATGTCAAAACCCAAAACGACGTCCAATGTATACTTGTTTTCATTACGCACGGGTGTAGGTATCATTTTCAGGGAGGTCGTCGAAAAGTGCGATAGTCGGCTGAGGGATTTTAATTGATTATTTGACTGTGTTGATGGGCTGTTTTTATTTAAATAATAATATTCACCTTCCACATTAAAACTTGAGAGAATGGACTGTTATATGGTATCTGGGTATTTTAGTTCAGGGATCAGTGAGAATCAGAATCACCACCTTACTACCCTCTTAAAGGATATGTTATTCTTTGAAACACATTTCATTGCACTAGTACATAGACTAGAATCGTAAACGACAGGGTTGGTTAAGTGTCTGTAGTTTAAATTGACAAGAGGGGTAATATAATATAACTGTAATAATAAATTTGTTGGTTACATCTTCATGCAGGTAGAGTAGTTTCCTTTATGTTTATTTATAGTTTAATACATCGAACCGTGTATACAAATATATTGTTGTTACGAAAACACGAACCATACGAATAAATATACTGACGAAAAACAATTTTGAAGGATCAAGGCTGTTTTATAACGTCATCCGATGCATTGATGAAATTACATCTAATTGGTTTAATACTTAGACCGTTTAATATGATAATTTATACAACAGGTCGATGAAAACTCGATAATACAGCAGCAAATTCCCACCCCATTCTAAAAAAGAGTTTCCACAATTGTGTTTTGATATAGTAACGACGTAAAAATTCTTGACTAATTATAGTTCTCACAAATTTGCACATTAAACCTTGTATGAAGGTCGCTTTAAATTTCCGGACCGACACTTGCATCCGAAAAGGTAACTAAGAGTATTTTTATCTTTTTGTATTTATTGAAATCTCTATATAAAAGCCGTGTTAATTTCACCATTTATAACTCAAGAACAGCTGGGCCGATCTTTGATTTGTTGGATTTGTCCGAATAGCAGAATAACAATTAAAATACTCCGCAGGGGGTTTGGTTTTTTCCAAACTTTGGGGAGTTGCGACCTCACGGGCATGAGCGAAACAGGGGGAGGTTAGTCCACCCTCCTTTCACACTTATCTGTCAAACACCATAATCCTCGATCATCGACACCCTTTCTTCCTTCTTCTTTTTCTCGGAGTCCACAATTCTAGGATTGGTTGGACACAGTCCTCCACACTTTCCTATCCTACGCTAATCTTTTAATTTCTACATAATTGCCCTTGCCTACGTCCCTAAGTATTTCGTCTGTGTATCTAAACCTCTATCGTCCGCCCTGCTCTTGCCCTACTTTCTATAGCTAGCTGTACTAACCCTCCGTGTCTGAGCACGTGTCCTCGTCTTCTCTGTACGGTTTTCCACCTTTTCCTATTTTCCTGTACTAGCTCCAAGACTGCTTCGTTTGTTACCCTGTCCATCCAGCTAATAATCCTCGTTATCCTTCTATAGCACCATATTTCGAAAGCTTCTATACTACTTTTGCCTTCCCTGCCTATCGTCCAAGTTTCGCACTCTTGTAGAGCTACACTCCATGTACGTTTTTAACGTTTTTCCTAATTCCTATATTTATCCTGGATCTTAGCAGGTTTCGCTTTGGTTCAAATGCTTTTTTAACTGTCCTGGATTTTATACCTATCTTATTATCTTGTGTAACCTTACTACCTAAATATCAACATTCCTTTACTGTTTACATGCTTTAATGTGTCTTTTCCTATTCGGATCTTTATCTTTTTCCTATCCTCTCTTTTCGCGCATTTCATTCCTTTGTTTTTTCCTTGTTGATTTTCGTACTGTAGTCTCTAGATAGTATTCCCTCCATACATTTTAAGCCTGTTTCTAGATCCCTTTCCCTTTCTTCCTTCCACAAAAATTTAAAAAAATGCGCTATTGTGGCCATTTTGTCCGTCCATCCGTCCGTCCGGCCGCTCGTTCGTTGAGACGCTACTAGTTCTTTATCTTAAGAGCTATTGTTCTACTGTTTTCGCTATTTGGTTCGTTATGGTGTCGAGGCTTGCACCAAGGAAGGAATTTTTTGCGTTTATTGCTAAAAAAGTTATTGTAAAAAAAACCAAAAAACCGTTTTTTACATGTTCCATAATTTTACACTTTTACCGTTTATTACCGATCCTAGAGATCGTTTATAATTTTGTATTGCTGTCTGTCGTCTGTCTGTTGGTCTGTCCGTTTGTTCCTTTGTCTGTCTGTCCCTCTACCTGTCCGTGTGAACGATAACTTTGTATCCGATCGCTTTTAGATCTCCGTTAGTTATTCACTGAATTGCATGAAATTCAATATGGGCATAGCTTTAGCCATATAATACGCAATGCCAAAAGTTGAGTCGAATCGATTTAAAATTCACAGTGCCCTTTTCGCATCTCGACCATTTATAAACCGAATTGCAAACTTTTTTATTTAGTTAGTTTCAAAATTTAGGTTTGCTCATGTGCAGTGCCAACTTTCTTATATAGGAAAGCAATGAAATGAAATTCTTCTTATAAACTGAAATTGAAGTAGCACGTCAAAAATGGATTGCACCTATGCAACCTTTCATATTTGGGCCGGATTTTTACGATTTTAACAGAAGGTGCATCTTACAAATGAATGCAAGTGGAAATGCGCTTTTTGTAAATCGTTTACGATTACTTTTTTAACTTGTTTTAGTGCATTTTTGCAATTTGTACAATGGTAGTTTTTAACCTCACTTTGGCTGGCTGGCTGGCTGGCAGTAAATGCTGGCTCGTAGAAGAATGCTTGTAGAAAAACGAGGAGTGTACGTGTACTTACCGGGGCCGTGTAATTAACAGCCCATAGGCGCAAAATATGTAGATCCGACCCTGTCTACCACACAAAAATGCGCTGAAGTCCCTTCGATCTCACACGAGGAGTTTGATAATTTTTTTTCGGAATCTCGAGATGTTAATCGTGTCGATGGGATGTATGGCTCCAGGTTAGCGACTCGTTAACGGTTTGTTGGTTTTTGTCATCGATGTCATGATGCTATTAACCCATCGTTTAATTTCTCGCTACTTTTCCACCATTTGCACTTCTTTTGAATTTCCTTTTATGCCTTCTTTAAACGACCCTTGCTTCAAGTGTTCTTTTGCCTTCAATTAATTGTGAGCAGAACAACTTTCTACACAAAACTCAATTCATTTTAAATAAGTAAATCAAATTTATTGTGGGTTCACAAACAAAGAAAAAATATTAGCAAGCCAAACCGGCTTTAATTGCAAATAGGTTGAGCTCTTTAAGAATTTTCAAACCATCATATACAACGACCCTTTTGCAGGTGACAGTGTTGAAACAGAATTGGGTTGGATACCTCCTTCGGTGAAAATGAATTAGGAAAGATGGGCGACGGATCGTGCACATTGAAATCTAGCCACCCATAACACCAAACTTCTTTGAATGTTCAAATTATACAACATTTTTTGAAACTCTGTCTTTTCTGGTGTATCCTTGTAAAAGTTACGAGCAAACCACCATGGGGTTAATGAGTTGGACCAAAAAATTGGAAACACTTGGTTAAAGTATCACAAGTTCACTACGTACAAATGTGCACTTTAATGTTTCTTATTGAATTTTTTCTAATGTAACAATTAGGATGAGTTTACGACTACTTCTTCAGGTTCACCGGCAGTAAACATTTACACAGCAGCTTTACCAGTGGTTCTTTGTATATTAAACGCGCTTACTTAAATTATTCTTGACCAAATACAGAAGTTATGACCTCCTTACGTAAACAATTCTTACGCGATTGTCTATTTCCTCCTGTTAATTTTCGCAATAATCCATATTTTTTCTATACGAGTATAAAACGGACACGTAATAACTTATTTACTTCAAACTTTGTTCCTTTTTAACAATAACTACCGGAACTAGCAATATTATATATTACGTACCAAAACAAATACTGGACCTGACGGTTGTCTAAAACTCGAATCTGATTCAAACTTTATTGAGGGTCGTTCACTTGTAACAACATCTTTCCAAACACGAATCTTTTCCAAATTTTACTAGGAAATCCGCCATACTATCGACTCTGTCACGAATTAATTAACAACTCTAATTTTCAGACTACACATCGATTATCTTTACAACAAAATTTCGAAAAAATTTAAATGCAAATTTAGAGCTACCGTTACCTTCTGACATGCTTCACGCTTTATTCCCTCTAGCTTACAATAAAATCGGAAAAACCACGTAAAGAATGTGTCTAGCTTTGTTAACCAAATGTGCTCGCTTTTAGCATAGTTAATCTAATTATGCTCGCAATCGTCAATAGAGATAACTTTCATTTTAACAGCCGAAAATTTCAGTGTTTGCATTTTCAATTAGGCCCTAGTAAGTTGGACAGCTTGTGCTAAGCCATTACTCAACTAAAACATCAGGTTGCTGGTACAACTCCTTGGCTGAAGACTTTCACCATCAGATATCATTCGTTTTAGTACAATGGTGTTAGTAATGATTTAATATTGCATTTCAAACCTTTTGACCTGTTGGGTGTTCAAAATAGCTGTTTATACGATTTGGATTACTGAGATCTAGTACAAATAAATCACATTGTATTATATTCTAGTCTGACCTTTGAATATCGATAAACTTTCCAAAAACGGAAGTCAAAAACAAAACGTAGTAACGCGTATGTCTTTTTTCAGTTATCACCCGAGAATTGTGCGACCAAAGCTACATGCTAAATTTGGCACCTACTGGCAGGGCGTCTTCAGTGACAATCCTTTTAAATCCGAAGGATCAGAAGAAAGTTTGCAGACTAAATATTACAGCACCCACATCTCATGTTATAAATTTGCAATGGCAAAAAGAAGCTGAAGAGCAAGAAAATGACACATTAGATAGCTCCCCTTGTCCATTAAGTGTGGTAGGTATCAACAAATTAGGGCACCACTTCAAAATGTCTCTTTTAGTTTCTTCCTGATTATAGAACCGTCTCAGTTTGGAAAGGTAACCCTTGCATGAAAGAGAAACTGCCAGATGTAGACTTGCTAACGCCCAATCTAATGCTCACATGGAATCCGCCGCGTTTTGCGAAACACGTGAGAGGAAGAAAATTGATAATTACGGCGGTGGGGCAAGGTAAAGTTAAAAACGTAATACACGATATCTCGCAAAGATCAATATTAACATTAACCAACCTATTTGCACAGACTATTTTAAAGGGAGAGATAAAAAGTCGTTAAATATTTTTCATAGTATGCAATCGCATATTCCAGATTTTACCCCGACTGTCCTCGCTACCGCTTCTACATTTGTTTGCAGGCCTTATCAATTTAGAAACTAAAACAAAGATAATGTCATTTCAACGGCCGTTACATATTAGTTGTTACAGACGAGGTCTGCATCCAAAAGAGGCAACACGTATGCATGCGAATCGGGTGGAAGCCTATGCTGTGTATTTCCGAAGAATTAGTTTGTGACGGAAACCTGAACTGTCCGAAGGGGTCGTCGAGAAGTGATGAAGATCCGGTATTGTGCAAGTCCTTTTCACTGGATCGCAGTTCTTGGAAACGTGTAGCGGAGGGCGTTATCGGGAAAAACAAGTCCGAAAAACAGGAAGATTTAATGAGTCTGAAGGACGTAAAGTCATACGAAGGTAAATAGTATGGTTGCTGACGTGGACGCCTTTTATTTGGGGATTCAATTCCAGTTACGCTTCCTGACCATGACCACCATGACACAGGCGACTCCGTATCGGCGGCGATCGCCCATTACGGTACTTGGGGTTACCTGATGCTAGCAATGCTAATTGTTGGAACGATACTTATGTTTTGCGGATTGTGGGAGTGTTGCTTCAGAAAACCTAAGCCGCAGCTGGACCTGCAACCAGCAGCACCATCAACAACAGTTCTAATTATAAACCGCACACAAGACAGCTCTGGCACGCGTCCTCCAAACTATGACGAATTGGATCAGCCCCCTCCATACGCCGCTCTATTCCCCCATAACAAGACGAAGGTGGAGAGAGACAACGTGATTAGGAGACACGAGCCGGTCACTGAGGAGTCGGTAAATGAGGCATTCTCAAGTGCATGTGATAGCAGTGACGAGCAAAGTGACTCGTACGTTAGTATAGACGATTCGAGCAATCGACTTTATAACTCATCCAGCAGTAATGAGTTGGAAAGAGTTAGTGATAGACATACTTCTCCTGTTTTTTGTATTGTAACTAGCATGTAGGTAATTGTGATATATTATAGACTGAAAGGACTAATCTGTTTAAGGCTTATTTTTTGTAAATTGATTTCCGCCACTAAATCCATTTGTCCTCTTCATCCCTCTCTTTTTTTTAATACATTAAATCATAATTGCCATTAGTGGTAATAGTGATTCTCTTCTATGTCTTATTCTATTCTGTCTGTTGCTCATTCAGTGAACCTACCATCCGCTAAACTAATTGAATCGCTACTAAAAGCCAGAAAAATAACTGTTACCCTAAACTCTCTTTACCAATCAATTATTTTATGCCTTTTAGATATTTTGTTCCCCCACTGTTGTGTTATATTTGCCTGATTTCTTTGCGCAATAGAATAGTTTTTCTTACTTTTCATAGTATGCCAATATGACGTGTGTAGACCAATGTTCTTCTACACAAAAATGCATGACAGGTATCAGGACGATATTTGCTGACTCGTTGTTTTTCAGTAGATACCAACTTCCGTCAGATCTACATTTTTTTAACAATTATTGTATCATCAGTGTTGGGTGGAGTGCAATTACTAACTTTGACCAAACTTTTGACAAATTTTTGAATTGCTACCGGTCAGAGGCGCTTGAGTTGCGATGCTCTTAATTTAGAGGCAAAGTGCACAAACGTGAAAAATAATCAAGAATAATCAAACTCCACACATTTCAGGAAAAGCAGTTGAAAGTATTTACCTAGTAAACAAGATAACATTGTATGTGCCTTACGAAATATGCAATTGGTTGTACATTTGAGATAAGAATATGACTTAATTAAATACGGTGAACGCCATCAAAATTCTGCTAGGACAATCGACTTTTTCTAAATGAGAGTGTTCGACATTTTTCTTATTGCTTCTTCTAAAACACCTTGATGTCATGATTTTAGAGATATGAAAGCTGATGTTTATATCATACATTTGGCTTTGAACGAAAGTGACCAATTTTCTTACCGAATCGTCCTTAATACATTAACTTGTATATGGTTTGTATCGATTTCTGCAGCAACTTGCAACGAATGTTACAATTTTCTTCTCTTCCTTCCTCTAGTTAATTTGCCACTATTTCAGTTAAATAATAATATTTATTTTTGACATTCAGTTGACACTGCTTAGTCTCGTCTGGATATTTAACATGTAAAGTAAGTATATAACAATCAAAACATATGAATAAAATATAAAACAAACAATATTAACATAAATGAAGGGTTATGGGGCAAGCATATACTCTTCGACACTGTAATAACAATTTGCTAATAGTTATTTACATAATAAGTCATGAAAGTGGTCGTTTACATGACGCGGAGGCTTACTGAAAAGTATACGAGGACGCTGCGCGTCCGAGTATCTCTTTAATGCCTCCAAGTCAGGTGGACTCACTTTCATGACGTATTATGTATAAAATTTTACCTGAAACCGCAACATGTAGATAACTTTTCCAAATTAAATTATTCATATGTGTGAAATTTTGATACCTAATCACTCATGCTAAAATCACTTTATTTAATTGTTTCCATAGAGATTTCAAATAATTAAAACAGTCAGTGTCATTTTTAATGCAGTTTGCAGTTTATGCTTTGTACTTTTCATTTATACAGTCTTTATAACTAGGTACAACTAGGTATCAGCATTGAATAAAAATTTTTATTCAATGGTATCAGTGAAGGAGAGTACCTACGCGGGATGTTGTTATAATGTAACCGAAGCTGCGGCCGCCGTAGCGCAATATTCGCCCACTACAAAGTCAAGAAAGAGGTACGAAAAGGCGTACAAACCTTTTAATGACTGGCGCAAAACTAAAGGAATAATTACTTCCACACATATTCCATTAATTGTTAGTAATTAAAAAACCATTATCCTTTGTGTAGGTAAATATTTAAAAATATCCACATAGTCCGCATTTTAATTATCCAATCGTTGATTGAGTAACTTATTCAATGAACCATCTAATTGTTATTTTGCATGTACTAGGACTGTAATGGGAGTCAGGCAAAACCATTACAGTACTAGTCAGGTAAAGATCAACTTTCTAATGTCAAAATAGCTCTGAAATTTAGATTTTCTTGACGGTTTCAGGGAAATAGTATATTACGTAACGAGTGTGAAAAGTGTCTTTCAAACGAGTCATGTACACTATTTTTCCTACCGCTCTCCATACAACCAAAAATCTACTTACATAATGAAACAAACGTTATTTTATTTCGAATTTTCACTATAAAAATTGAATATGAATTGATTATTTGTACAGTTGTTAAAGTTGGTCGGGTGTTTCAAAACATCTGCATTTAACATATGTGTGTTGCATTCTTTGGAAATCAAAGTAGACCTGGTGACTGTGGAAACGTTGTAAACCAGACGTTGGTCCATTTACTGCTGTTGAGAAAAAACTAGGTTCGCTACTTGTATTTAAATATCTGAGAGTAGTATATTTTTTTAAGATATCGGAAAATTCGCCAGTAATAGTAAAGGAACGCGGCTTCTTAGTTTTTGTCTCTGGTATGTTAATGTGAACGGCAGAACCCATGTTTTCGATATCCTGTACTTTTAGTTGAGCCAATTCGTGCGTTTACGGCATGCACCACTGACACCAACTACTAAAACTATCTAAAAATGTGAAGTATATTCAATTGCTTTTTAACGAACTATTGTTATAATTACTTCAGCAAAGAGGTACTTGTCATTTGGAGCTTCTGCAAGAAATGTACTAATATTATTTTTTTAATGTTCGGTTAAATTCCCGTAATGGTAACTTTTTTATTTCCTTATTTAATTCGGGTGATCGAAAAGTAGTGCGGACAATTTGAATTTTCCGTAAAACTAAACATTTATAACGTTGATAACATACCAAATGTCATTTATGTAAAAGCAGTGGTGCATCAATTTAATCACTAAGACATAAATAAACTTCCTTCTAAACATGTTTGCCAATTCCTTAAGTGAAAAATATTAAAAACTTAAAGCGCTCATTTTAAACTGCAGTTTTTTTTGATCACCCGATAGAGCGAGAGATCAAGTTTTTAATTCTTTAAAATAGGCACGACAATGGTCTCTAGTCCCAAGTCTAGCTATAATGCGTATTGCTTTTTTCTGCAACCTAAATACTCGTAATGTACACGCAGTTTCGCCCCACAAAATAATACTATAGTTTATTATGGAGTGGAATACTGCAAAATAGCAGCTCAATAATGTAGCGTCATCTAACGATTTTCGCAATTGTCTTAACAGGTAAATATTTCCTGACAGCTTCATATACAAAGTTAAATCGACGTGAGCCTCGCAGTTTAGTTCATTATCAATACGTATACCCAATAACTTTACATTTTGATCTGTTATTTTTATTTTTTGTTGTAGTAAAAGTTATTTTCTGCATTTTATTTGGATTGTTTTTTAATTTGTTTGTAATCAACCATTCCTGTGCTCTCTCTTCAGTTAGACTTACGCTAGATGTTAATTATTGTTCTTTATCCATAGCGGAACATAAAATGGTAGTATCATCAGCATATTGAATGCATTTGTGAGGTTGAAATATTTGATAGATCATTTATATACAATAAGAACAATACCGATCCTAGTATCGACTCTTGCGGTACTCCATACAGAATGGGTTCAATGCTAGATGCGAAATTATTATAAGAAACACATTGCTTTCTATTTGTTATATAAGAATGGAATAGTTGCAATGGTTTACCAGGTATCCCATAGTGATTTAATTTTTGTATTAATATGGATGGTTGCACACAGTCAAAGGCTTTCGATAGATCATAAAGAAACGTTATTGGTATTTCCCTATTTTCGAGAACCCCAATTATATATTCAATTAAGGAAAGTACTGCTTATAACAATGCGATCAAAAATGAGTTGCTGCGAGAAATACACTTTGGAATTTTTGTTTACATTGCGAAAATCGGTATTTAACTTGAACTTTCCAAAAGGCAACTCGACAGCAACTTCATTTTTTGATTCGCCCGTTAGTAGAATGCTGTGGTCTAAATCCAACATTGGACTATAGCTAAGTATACAAGTGTTTAGTCAAAAATTCCATTAGGACGATTTTTAATTAGGATTTCGGCAACTTTTGAGAGCGTGTGTAAGTAGATGAGCAAAGGGACTTCTGGATCAGGAAGTGACGTCAAACCAATCAGAATCGAGTATTGTGGTCACGTGGTCACGTGTGAGCCAATGAGAGCGCGTGAGTCGGCCATTTTGTGACGTCACATTTTGCGTGTTTTGCTTCCGGTGTTTCTGGATCAGGAAACGCGTCACACCAATCAGAATCGAGTATTTCGGTCGGCCATTTTGTTTACGTCACATTTTGGGTTGGATCAGGAAACGCGTCACACCAATCAGAATGCAGTATCGGTCATTTTGTTTACGTCACATTTTGGGTTGGATCAGGAAACGCGTCACACCAATCAGAATGCAGTATCGGCCATTTTGTTTACGTCATATCTAGGTTTCCCGCGTTTATTTCTGGACCAGGAAACGCATACTGCTGATTAGGATATCCTGTTTACAACACCGGATGCTGCTTCCTGTTGACGTGACCGGACGCTGCTTCCTGTTCCCGCCATTTACGTTTCCTGCTGATTAGAATTTACCGGATGCTGCTTCCTGTTGACGTGACCGGACGCTGCTTCCTGTTGACGTGAACGGATGTTAGTTTCCTGTTAACGACCGGACGCTGTTTCCTGCTGATTAGAATTTACCGGATGCTGCTTCCTGTTGACGTGACCGGACGCTGCTTCCTGTTCCCGCCATTTACGTTTCCTGCTGATTAGAATTTACCGGATGCTGCTTCCTGTTGACGTGACCGGACGCTGTTTCCTGCTGATTAGAATTTACCGGATGTAAGTTTCCTGTTAACATGAACGGATGCCCGTCGATACATGAATTACGAATCTACCGCTTTAGTCAACTGAGCTAAAAGGGGCGCGCGATTGCAGGGGCGTAGAGGGTGGCGTTAGATACTCACATATGAGCTGCAGCTAACCCTACCTGCTATAGGTATAGAGTAACAGCGTGCGAAATTTAGTTGTTA